AGGTGGGTGTTGTATTTTTTAGATACGCATCTATATGGGGGCGGGGGTGCGTGTGGGGATTGTACTCTTTACCTTGGTTTTTACCGTTTAAAGTCTTTTTCGTGAGCCGCCCGTTTTTCAGGGCAGAACCAAGTCTTTTTTGGGCTCTTAAAATAGAGTAACTTAGAGTTTGTTCAATGTATAAAAATCGTGTTAGTGGATACTTAGTAGTGCTATGGGCGGGCAGGCAATAGCACCCCCACCCTATTTTCTGTCCTTTAATAATTTGGTTTTGGTTAGTATGACCCATCGTTTCATTCATTTCGAGTTCTCCTGGAGTGGAACTTGCCCCTGCCGCTTCCCGTGGCCCAGCGTGGCGCCTACTCCGGCGGCCGACAAGGGGGAATCCAAACGGCGTGCGGCCATTGGCTGGACAGTTGCAGAAGCTGGCCAATCAGCGTGCGGATTTTGGAGCCGGTGGAGTGGCGTGGTGGGAGGCGCTCTCGCAGCCAATGGGCGTGCGCGCCCTGGGTCTTTCCTGAACGGCTAAGATATTTCTAGCTGTCGCTCAGTTGTAACTCGCCTTATCTCATCTTGAATTAATAGAAATTAGCGTTCTATTTATTTTGAAAATGGTGGCGTTGTCTGGCCGCTTCATAACGCCTTTGGTGTGTGGTTTTGTACTTACAGGGCGCTCCCCTCACCTGCTTCTTTTGGGGCCATTTCCCAAGTTTCAGGGTGGCTACCTTACCTACTTTGATCTCGATTAGAAACCTGAGTAACAACAAATTAGCGCTCATTAGCGCCACCCCCCGGCTCTTCCAGCCCTTTTTCTGAAGCGGTGGGTGGCTCTGAAAAGAGCCTTTGGGTTTAAAACAGAAAAGAGAGAAACTAGAAGGCCGCCTCGAAGCAGCGCTGCCCCCCACCTGCTGCCTCACTTGCCCTTGGCCTTGTGGCTCTCGCTTTTCTTGGGCAACAGTACGGCCTGGATGTTGGGCAGGACACCACCCTGCGCGATGGTGACGCCACCCAATAGTTTGTTGAGTTCTTCGTCATTCCGAACAGCCAGCTGGAGGTGACGTGGGATGATCCGCGTTTTCTTGTTATCCCGGGCAGCGTTCCCTGCCAGCTCCAGGATCTCGGCCGTCAGGTACTCCATGACGGCAGCCAAGTAGACAGGCGCACCGGCGCCCACCCGCTCAGCGTAGTTACCCTTGCGTAGCAGCCGGTGGACACGGCCCACGGGGAACTGCAGACCGGCGCGGGACGAGCGCGACTTGGCCTTAGCACGGGCCTTGCCCCCCTGCTTCCCACGGCCAGACATCACCGCCTGCTCCGAATAGTGCCGTAGTGCCGCTGCCCTGGCTTTTATACTCGACCGGGAATCGAAACGTCGCCTGATGATTGGCCATAACGCCTTTGCGTTGGAGAACCAATGGAACAGCGCCGAGTTCTGGCCAATAGCGGCCGGAGGTTTGGAGCCATCTCGTGTCTAGGCGGGGCGTGGCCCAATCAGCGAGCGGGAGTTATAAAGGGAGGTTGGCGCAAACGGAGTCCGACTGGTGCGGGAGGAGCAGGTGGCTGCGGGCGCGTGAACGTTTTGCTCGTTCCCTAAAGCCATACATGGAAACTTAAGCAGGGCCTTTTATACATTAAAGCTTTTTTTCCCGCATGTTAACAGCCAGGCACAAGTCTGCTGTGGCGCGAAGAGCACGTCGTTGGCTCACCTCTCCCGCAGAGTTTTAAAGCTTTTAAAATGTATTCGGCCATTTAGGGCGCGCGGTTAATGTCGGCTTCGCAGCGCGATGGAGGGCACAGTCCCGCCGCTCGCGCACCACAGGGACGCTTCGCTGGACGTTGATTGGTCGCGCTACGCGCTGTCAACCTTCCCATTGGTCCTCAGGGAGAGGGGGGGCGGGAGAAAGGGACGGGGAGGGAGGACAGTTTTCACTCAGGTCCGTCCCGACTGTACCTAAGAAAGCTCCGCGGGTCCGGGCGGTCACAGGCGCCCTTTCGCGCACCCTCCCTGTCCGCAGCAGCCTCTTTGTCACCTGGAAACCTCTGAAAACTGCGGGGTTGCTCCTAAAACTCCGCCTTTTCGCCCTTTCTGTCCTTGAGCCCGGGGTGCTCATGCCCTGCTGGCTGTTCCCCCCCATGCTCCCCTCCCCGCAGCCCATGGGCAGGCGGCGGGGAGCTGTTGGCAGGAGCCCGGATAGCTCAGTCGGCAGAGCATCAGACTTTTAATCTGAGGGTCCAGGGTTCAAGTCCCTGTTCGGGCGAAGGTACCTTCTGTTTTCCCAACCACCCCCCCTGTCCGCACCAGCCTCTTTGTCACCTGGAAACCTCTGAAAACTGCGGGGTTGCTCCTAAAACTCCGCCTTTTCGCCCTTTCTGTCCTTGAGCCCGGGGTGCTCATGCCCTGCTGGCTGTTCCCCCCCATGCTCCCCTCCCCGCAGCCCATGGGCAGGCGGCGGGGAGCTGTTGGCAGGAGCCCGGATAGCTCAGTCGGCAGAGCATCAGACTTTTAATCTGAGGGTCCAGGGTTCAAGTCCCTGTTCGGGCGAGCAAAATTCTTTTCTTCCGCCTTCTTCCTGGCTATTTTTTTTCCCCC